AGATATGTTAAAAATTTTTTTTTTTTTTTTTTAAGACAGAGTCTCACTCTGTCACCCGGCTAGAGTGTAGTGGCACCACTGCAACCTCAAACTCCTGGGCTCAAGCGATCCTCCTGCCTCAGCCTCCCAAGTAGCTGGGACTGCAGGTGCGCACCACCACTACTCCTGGCTAATTTTTCTGTTTTTTGTAAAGACAGTATCCTCCCCATTTAAAGGATTCAAGGCACCTTCAAGACTTTCAGAAGATCAACAGTTTTCATGGCTATCTTTAAGCATAAGAAATTACTCAAAGTAATCTCTAAAAAGATTCCAAGAGCAATCAGAAGAAAGTTTACATTTCTTCTTAATTTCTTCTTCCACTGCAAATCCTAATTCTATCCAAAAGGAAATTTGTTTTTAATTATACGTTTTTGTGGGGATTTCAAGTCAATATTTATTGAACACACAATATTACAAGACTGATCAATGATTTCTATGATTACTAATGTCATTTTACAACTGAAGAAACTGAGGCTGAGATGCTAAGTAACTTGCCCAATACGATATTTTAAAGAAGTGACAAAGTTCAAACCAAGATCTGGCTACAAAGCTCTTGCTTTTTCCAGATTTAACCAGCTTTATTAGCAGCACACATGTAATTTTACAATACCATGTTTTCCTTTACAACCAATAAAATTAAGCATTAACTTACTAGGACCCAAATTTTGCTGGGCATCAGAATTATTTGGACAGCTTGATATAGCACAGATTTCTGGGCCCTGCACCCAAAATTCTGGAATCAGTAAGGCTGAGTTGGGCCTGAGAATTTGCATTCTAACAAGTTCCCAGGTGATGCTGATGATATTTGTCTAGGAACCACACTTTACCACTTGACCCAAACCAAGAATTCTCCTCTCCCCATCTGCTAGCCAACTTGGAAGAATTCAGTTTCAGTTTTAGAAACATATAAACTTTCTATCTCCAAAAGCTTGAAACTCTAGAAAGAAAACAATCTGGCTAGCAAATACTTTCAAGAAAATTCAAAATATATGTACTGTAATATTAGATTGGCACCAAGCTAAGAGAAGTAACTAGCATGCACAGTAATAGTCAGTACTCCTCTTAACGCAGATGGGAATCATTTCCTGGAAAGTGGACACTAGAAGCAAAGGAGCAATGTTAGCCATCTGCTATCAATAGACAACACATTTTTTTGAAAGTTAAAAAAATACAATTATTTTGCCATGGCTCTTCATTTGAACAAAAAAGAAAAGAAAAAAAATACAATTATTAATTCCATGTTGCCTTGAAAATAGCTTCCCTGACAAAACTGAAGCCAAAAATTTTTCCACCAAATAAAACAGAAAAAGTGAACAGAATACTTTTAATACTGCTAAACTGTGATTTTGTTTGTTTTCTGATTACATTGTACTTTATCCTATTCAAGTCTGCCACTGAAACAAAAATGGCAACTAAATCAAATGATGGGCCATTCTCAACAATAACAAAAAAATATGGCTATTAACTAGTTGTCAAACTGAAATGTACTAGGAAATGCATTTATACAGATAGAGACAGACACTTAACAAAGAAACATTTAGAATGTCTTTTTGATGATTTCAAAGTAAAAGCATCAAGCCAGGTGTGGTGGCACACGCCTATAATCCCAGCACTTTTGGAGGCTGAGGAGGAAGGACAGCTTGAGCCCAGGAGTTGGAGGCTGCAGTGAGCTATGATTGCACTTGGGCAACAGAATAACACCCTGACTCTAAAAGAAAGAAAGAAAACAAAGTGAAAGCATCAAAAATAAACCTGAATTAGGGAAAGAGAGAATTTAACTTTACTCTTGTAGTCAGCTAACAATAGCTGCTCACTTTTTCTGATATTTGTTCATTGTCCATGCTTTTGGACTGTAGTTCTCAAATTTTAATGGCCATCAGAATCACCTGGAGGGCTTTTATAACACAGGTTCAGTCTGGGGCAAGGCTCAAAAATTTGCATTTCTAATAGGTTCTCAGGTGATGTTGATATTGCTGACAGGAGACCACAGTTTGAGAACCAGTCTTTTTTTTAAGAGTTTCCTTAGGAGTTTCACTTGCTCATTGGTTTATTCAAGCAGTTGAACTGCTTGTTATAATTTCTTAAAGTTACAATCTGGGATGAAAATTATCAGGTGCTTTTTGCATTTTCCAAGTAGTACAAGTTATCTTTATCAATTTAGTTCAACCAAATGTATACTAAGAAATTGCTGGCCAGCAGGCACTGTATTGTGCTAAGCACCAAAAATACAAAGGTAAAAAGATCTCGGCCGGTCGAGATGGCTCACACCTAGCACTCTGGAAGGCCAAGGCAGGAGGACTGCTTGAGCTCAGGAGTTCAAGACCAACCTGAGCAAGAGCAAGACTCTGTCTCTAAAAAATTAAACAAAAACCAAAAAAAAACCCCTCATTTTTACAACCCAATAGAACAGCAGATATGTAAAAAGTTTTTTTTTTTTTTTTTAAAGGGTGTGGGGTAGGCAGCCGTGCTCCATTCTGGTGACTGAGTCCAACCTTCTTCACCAGACCCAGAAAAGGTTTTGATGATACAACCTGTCCACTTAATTTGAGTCATAGGTGCTCCACTCATGAAAGTAAAAGGAAAGTAAAAGATACATCAGGCAAATTCTAATGAGAAGAATACTAATACAACTACTAATGTTGAAAAAATTGCAAGGAAAATTCTAGACTCAAAAGAACTAAATTAACTGAGCAAAATCTAGAATTTGCATCACAAAAAAATATTCTAAAATCTTCTGGTGTTGGAAGGTAAGAGGGAAAGAAAAGAAGTAATACAGAAGAAATAAGTATGAGTACAGGGAAAAGTGTCCAGAGTGAAAATCCCTTATCCAATATGCCTGGGACTAGAAGTGTTTTGGATTTCAGATATTTTTGGATTCTGGAATATTTACATATACACAATGAGATATCTTGTAGATGGGATCTAAGTCTAAATGCAAAGTTCATTTATATCTCATATACAACTTATACACATGGCATAAAGTTAATTTTATATAAACTTTTTAATAATTTTGTGCATGAAACAGGTTTTGACTGTGATCCATCACATGAGTCAGGTGTAGAATTTTCCACTTGTGGCATTATGTTGGCATGCAAAAAATTTCAGATTTTGGAGCATTTAGGATTTTGGATTTTCAGATTAGGGATGCTCAACTTGAATTTACTATTAATGAAACTAACGGAATTAAAAGAGAATTTTCACATTAACAAGGGGAGACAAATGAATAAATTACAACTTGACAATCAGCAACAATAAGGAACAGAAAAAAACAGAAAATAATAATGTAACATAAATAGATACAGTAAGGAAAACAAAATCAATATGTAGATCATTATTTTAGACAGAAACACATTAGGCAAAACATTAAAAACAGCAATGTACCATTTTCAAGAGAGATACACAATAAACATAAGAAATATCAGGTAATTCAAACAAAAAGGGAACAGGAGAGGCAGTATTTAAAATCGTACAAACTAGAATTTAAAGTTGAAAAAAATTTCTGAAGAATGCATACGGGGAGAAAGCAAATGTGGCAAAATAGTTAACAATTAGTAAATCTAGGAGAAGATACAGGGGTATTTACTATTTAAAATGAAATTTAAAGTAGTACTTCCCCACAAATTGTGTTTATTATTCTTAAATTATCCTTTTAATGAAGGTTTCTTCTATTTAAAAAAAAAGTCAGTTGCCTGTATGCAGGGGGAAAAATTTCCTTTAAATGATTTCAGTATAAAGACGATGAGAAGTAAAGATATTTAGTATTCTTTGTAAAGTAAACAAAAATAAACTACAAAGAGGGAATTAAGATAAAAGCTGAAAAAGATGAAATAAAAAGTCAAAATATAATAGAAAGGATAAATAAATCCAAAAGACGGTTCTTTTAAAACATCAATAAACCAGACATAATCACATTAAACAAAAAAAGAGACAGAAAAAAAAATACTTAAGATTTAGAATGAGAAAAGAGCACAACCACAAAACCAGGAGAGATTAAGAGAATAATGCAAATTTGTAGCAACAAGTTTTAAGGTAAAAGAAATAGACAATTCCTTAGCAAAATAAGAAGACATGTAAAATTTAAACAGACTAATTTCCAAATAAGTGAATGAAGGGAAAATTAGAGATTTACCATTGATAAATTCACAACAGAGTTTTATCTAACATTTAAGAAAGAGATGAATACAATCCTATTTGGAATTAACTATCCAATTACTAAGATAACATGCCTTCAGATAACATGTCAAAAGTTTTCTGACTTCATAAATGAAATAAAACTAGAGTGCTATTCATGTTTCCTTTTAATGAAATAAATGTGTAAATTAGGGGGTACACTTGAAGCAAAATTGTTTGGTAACAGAAGCAGGTACTGAGATACCTGGTCAAGTTACGATACAAAAGATAATATTGCTCAGCACCTTTATAGTATATTATCCAAAGCATATATTCCTATGTACCTGAAATTCAAATAAAATGAAGATGGCAAAATACACATTTTCTGTTATCCATTAGTTTAGGAAATATTTATTGCCTGCCTATAAATTCTAGGTAAAAAGGTACATATCAACAATCTCATAGAAATATAGTCTTCCTCTAAGGATAAACTACATGAGAAAATTTTCACACAAGAAAATCATTAAGATGTTAATGATTTTAAGAGCATTAGGTTACTTACAACTGCAAACTCATCTCTGTCAAGCATTCCATCATGGTCAATGTCACTCAATTCCCAAACCTTAAAAAGAGAATAATTGAGAAAGATTAATGTTCTTTTCATTTCATGTGCTACTTGGGAGCAGGGAAAGAAAGTGTACTGGTGAGAGTTAAGAGTGGAGATGAGCAAGTACTTGGTCATTAAATGTCTTGAAAGAAGTTTAGACTTTATTCTAAATGCAATGAGAAGTTGCTAAAAGGTTAGTCTTAAGTAATAAAATGACAAGATTATATTTATAGTTTAGAAATTTCATACTGACCACACAGTGGAGAAATAATTCGTAGGAACAATACTAAAAAAATCAACATTTATTGAGCACCTAAAATCTACATAACACTGATCCAATAATAGTAGTGCTAGTCCTGGTGGTATCGTGGTTGTCGTCATCATCATCATCATCATCATCATCATCATCATGGCAGCTAGCATCCAAAGAGTATGTAACAAGCACTGTAGTAGCACCTTATATACATTATCACATTTAATCCCAACAACCCTATAAACTGGGAACTATTCCCATTTTAAGGATTAGGAAACTGAGACAACATAGTTTTCTAATGATCTGCCCAAGGTCACAAAACTCAGAAATAGAACAGCCAAGGATTTGACCCTATGTAATCTACTTAAGCAGGGAATTAAAGAAAGGGCAAGGGGTTTAAAGAGAGGAGATATGGTCTGAAATAAGAAGAGAGGTAGAGAGAAATCACTATGGAAATAGCACAAGAGTGGCTGGCAATAGAGAGGAACCCAGCTAAAGTTGGTGATGATGAATTTACGGTAACATCAATCTTATTAGACTTTCTCAGTAGTCCACAGGCAACTACAAAGAAGGCAGACAATTAGCTTCATGCAAAGCTGGATTTCCAACATTCAGGAGAGATGGCAGAATAACAGGACAAAAGGAGCTAAGGATAAGGATATGGAACTGTGGACCAAAAGATAGGGGAAAGTGTTTTAGTTTTATAAGATGAAAAGAGTTGTGTAGATGAATGGTAGTGATGATTGCATCACAATGTGAATGTACTTAATACTATGTACTGGAAAATTTAAAATTAGTTATGATGGTATATTTCATGTTATGTGTATTTACCACAATGAAATAATTGAAGGAAAAAAAAAAATAAAAAGAGGAAGCCAGGCTCGGTGGCTCATGCCTATAATCTTAGCACTCTGGAAGGCTGAGGTGGGAAGATCACTTGAGTTTAGGAGTTGAAGACCAGCCTGAACCCACCGTCTCTACTAAAAATAGAAAAAATTAGCCAGCCATGATGGTAACACCTGTAGCCCCTGCTACTTGGGAGGCTGAGGCAGGAGGGTCGATTGAGCCCAGGAGTTCGAGGCTGCAGCAGTGAACCATGATGACACCACTGCATTCTAGCCAAGGCAACGAGTGAGACTCTGTCTCCAAAAACAAAAACAAAAAAAAAAGGAGGAAAAGTAAAGAACTCTGAAATTTAAAAGTCTTAGTGAAGGCAAAGAATTAAAGCCTTGCAAGTATCTAGGAAAGAGATCTAGATAGGCACGAAGTTCAAGTTAGAGCGTAGAATATATGATTTCAGAGATGAAACTATTCCTTACAATAAGACATCATGATACAGCCATGGAGTGGGTGGCAGATGTAAAATACTAATGGTCTCTGGAAATTAAGCAATTGGAAGATCAGCACAAAGAAAAAAAGGACCTACTTAAGGGGTTTATATATAAAACTAATTTCAACCACTCATATTTTATAGGGAATAAGCAAATACACAAATAAATTGGCAATAATTTCATATATGAAGTCAGAACACAAAAAATTCTGTAACATGGCTGAGTGCAGTGGCTCATGCCTATAATCCTAGCACTTTGGGAGGTTGAGGTGGGAGGATCACTTGATGTCAGGAGTTCGAGCCCAGCCTGAGCAACATAGCCAGACCCCGTCTCTACAAAAAATAAAAAAATTAGCCATGCATAGCGGTACGGGCCTGTAGCCCCAGCTACTTAGGAGGCTGAGGCAGGAGGATCACTCGAACCCAGGTGTCCAAGGTTGCAGTGAGCTATAATTGCCTCACTGCACTCTGGCCTGAGCAATAGAGTGAGATCCTGTCTCAAAGAAAAAGAAAAAAAAAATTTGTGATACAACTTTAACACATTCACTGTCACACTGGAAAAAAAATTTTTCTTTCTTGGGGCCACAGTGTTTTATTATGAAAATAGTATAAAAACTTCAAAAACAAAACAATCCTTTGTAATTTAATGAAAAATTTGTTATTCTTTATTGTTTTCTGTGTGAGTTATATGTAATTAAATTGTCAATATTAATTGCAACAATAAGAACATCAACAAGTAAGATTTTCAGGAACCAATTGCAGGGTTTTGCCCAGGGGGTCACCCATCGGGTAACATTTATGTTACAGCATGGCAGGGCAAGTTGCCAACTCCCAAGGTAAAGAGACGTGTGAGTTACATATGCTTCACAAGGCCCCAGCCTCAAAACTAGCGTGAGTTAAACACAACTCACGTGGCAGTTGATGTGTTAAAATTAAGATCTGTGTATTTTTTAAGAATGCAGCTATAAGGGCTCCTGGTAGATATAAAATTAAAATAAAAATTACATTTAGAATTTAATAATATCTTACTCTTCCAAGGATATCCACAGGTAACTTAGAGTTGAGTAACACTGGTTTCACTTTGCCACCGGACAGAAATCCATTCACTGGGCTTAAACTATCAAAAATTGCATCATATTTGGCCTTGTCTTCAGACTACAATATAAAAAAAAAAAATCATAAGTTAAAAAATGGTGAAAAGGATTTAATTGCAGTTGTAAAAATCAAGTCCTCAAAGAACAGACTACGTATTTTTTTCAATTATCATTTAAAAAACATTTTCACTTTCATCAAAATATAGTATTTGTTGGAAGGATATGCAAGAAAAAATATTTATATTATACCAAATAATAATTTCAAAGTGACTCTACTCAAGAATCCAGTGCTCCCCATTCCTTTTTTGGCTGGAACACCATCTTTGTTTTTCTATTCCTAGGTTAGAATCAAAAGATTTCAGAAAGACAGAAGGGCTTTGAAAAGCAACTAGTCCATTCCTCTCACTTAAACAGACCAAGGGCAAGAAAGTAACTTTTATCATACAGCTTGTCAGTGACATTCTATGACTTTCTAAACATAGAAAGTTTATGTGTTAGGTATACTTCAAATTCACACAAATAAATTTTTTAAAATAAATTCATTGCTATAAGGCTATGGTCTCCAACCTCAGCCTGCAAACCACCACACACCCACTCCACCCCACCCCCGTTGGAAAAATTGTCTTCCATGAAACCTAGGAGGAGGGAGGGGTGGCCCCACACAGCAGGAGGTGAGCAAGGGGCAAGCTTCATCTATATTAACAGCCGCTCCCCTCCCCATTGTTCAAATCACCTGGCTGAGCGCTGCTTCCATCCCTGCCCATCGCCCCCTTCTGTGGAAAAACTGTCTTCCATGAAACCCATCCCTGGTGCCAAAAAGGTTGGGGACTGCTGCTATAAGGAATAAACATCAAGATTCCTCCATTTTTCCCAAAGCAAGATTCCTTTTTCTTATAAATAACATGGTATTCTCCTAAAAATCTTGAAAGTTACTTGTCTAATTTGGAAAACTATCGTTCATTTGCCCAGTCAAGGCCAAATTCCTATACTTTATAAAATTAATAAACAGGCCACAGCACACACAGACATAAAAATCAAAATGGTTTAAAAAAAAAAACGGTACACATTTATCAAAGATCATTTGATCTGCTATATTCTAATACTGTTTTAAAATTACAAGTTTAAAAAATCTGGTAAGATATCTATAGCCAATAGTTTGCCTCTGAAAAACTATGCTACAAAAAATACCCATTTTTGAAAAAGAATTCTTTGTTTTAAGCCATAAAGAGAATACTTAGTTAACTAGAATTTTCAAATAAGAAATAATACACAAAGAGTGCAATGCGCACCACCCGAAGGATGGACATATTTGAAACTCGGACTTGGGGGGGGGGGAGGGCAACGGCAACATACGTAACCTAAACATCTGTACCCCCATAATATGCTGAAATAAAAAAAAAAAAAAAAAGAAAGAAATAATACCAGTGGGGTAAATTACCTGTTCAAATATTTTAGTTAATAAAGGATTATGACATCACCATTTTTAACCCTATAACAGAAATAAGGATCAGACCAATACTATTAATAATTATCACAAAATGACTGACAGAGCTGAAAGATCCCTCAAAGATTTCTAGCACCAGTACTTCCCTATTGTCCTTGAACATACATATGCAAGTCCAATGCAGATTGCAATGCATTTTAGAGGTAGAGGGAGAGGATGTATGTGAGTAGAAAGCAAAGCAAGGGTAAGGAGAGAATAGTTAAAAAGTTTACTTAAACAGCAACAACAAAAATAAATAAATGAGACAAATTAAAAAGTTTCTGCAAACCAAAGGAAATAATCAACAAGAGTAAATAGACAACCTACAGAATGGGAGAAAATATTTTCAAACTATACATCTGACAAAGGGCTGATATCCAGAATCTACAAAGAATTCAAACAAATCACCAAGAAAAAAACCAAACAACCCCATTAAAAAGTGGTCAAAAGACATGAACAGAGTTTTTTCAAAAGAAGATATACAAATGGCCAACAGAAACATGAAAAAATGTTCAACATCACTAATCATCAGGGAAATGCAAACTAAAATCACAATGAAATAGTACCTTACCCCTATCAGAATGGCCATTATTAAAAAAATAAAAAAACAATAGATGTTGGTGAGGATGCAATAAAAAAGGAATGTTTATACACCGTTGATGGGACTGTAAATTAGTACAACCTCTATGGAAAACAGTATGGAGATTCCTCAAAAAACTAAAAGTAGATATACTGTTGGATCCAGCAATCCCATTACTGGGTACCCACCCAAAGGAAAGTAAGTCATTATATAAAAAAGACACCTGTACCCAAATGTTTACCGCAGCACAATTCACAATTCACAATTGTAAAGACGTGGAATCAACCTAAGTACCACCAGTTGATGAGTCGATAAAGAAAAGGTGATATATGTATATACATACACGCGCGTGCGTGCGCGCGCACACACACACACACACACACACACACACACACACACCATGGAGTACTACTCAGCCATAAAAAGGAAAGAAATAATGTCATTTGCAGCAACTTGGATGGAACTGAAGAACATTATCCTAAGTGAAGTATCTCAGGAATGGAAAAACAAACACCACATGTTCTCACTCATTAGTGGGAGCTAAAGGATGGGTATACATGGTCATAAAGTGGTATAAAGCAGAGGTCCCCAATCTTTTTGGCACCAGGGACTGGTTTCATGGAAGACAATTTTTCCACAAACCCAGTGGGGGAGTGAGGGGATGGTTTCAGGATGATTCAAACATATTACATTTATTGGGCAGTGAAACTTCTCTACTAATGATAATTTATATTTGCAGCCACTCCTCAGCACTAGCATCACCACCTCAACTCTACCTAAGATCATCAGGCATTAGATTTTCTTAAGGAGAGCATGTGCAACCTAGATCCCTCATATGCACAGTTTACAGTAGGGTTCACTCTCCTATGAGAATCTAATGCTACAGCTTATCTGATAGGAGGCAGAGCTTATGTGGGCATGCAAGTGATGGAGAATGGCTGTAAATACAGATGAAGCTTCACTTGCTCGCCCACCGCTGACCCCCTGCTGTGTGGCCCAGTTCCTAACAGGCCATGGATCAGTAGCAGCCTCCAGCCTGTGGGTTGGGGATTGCAGGTGTAAAAGACACTGGAAACTAAGAAGGAGGGAGGGTGGGAGTATAGTGAAGGATAAAACCTTACCTATCAGGTACAATGTACACTATTTTGGTGACGGGCACAGGAAAAGCCCTGACTTCAGCATTATACAATTCATCCATGTAACAAGAACACTTGTACTCCCTAATATTCTGAAATAAAGATGTTTTTAAAAAGTTTACTTACTTTTACTGCCCAGGGGAGTTCAGCTGCAGAGGTTCCACTGATTAGCAAAGGACTACTGGTATCATGCTAAAAAAGAAAGTACAGCACATGAAGAGGTGAAATCTTCACATCAATAAGCAATGGAGAAAAAGTAGTCTTTGGATTTAAATATATTCATACAATATGCTGGCTCTCAATGCACACAGAACATGATTTTACACTTACTAGACCTTCATCTAAGTACCAATGGAACAAAAACATCTTCAGGGAGTTAGTAGCATATATGACTGTGGAGCACTAACTAAAACACAGAAGTATTACAGAAGAAATCCTACAGCTAAGATCAAGATAAAGATATCTGAATGTTAACAAAAATATATAGGGCCCTGTTAACTGGTGATTTTTTCCCAACATTATTTGACAAAAGCAAACTGGGAAAACAAC